TGGAATCTTGCAAGGGCACCGTTTGTCTGCGGATGGTAAGCAGTATTGAATGTGTGATTGGCGCCTAAGAATTTCATTAACTGTTTCATAACATTGTTCATGAACTCTGAACTGCCTTGGTCAGAATAGAATCGTGTAGAAACTCCGAAATGTTGGCAATAGTGAACTATTTGTTTAGCTACTGAAGGTTGATTTGTTTGTTAGTAGAACTATAAGTTTGCTCTACACAAATTCTAGCGGCGCAGCGCTAACAGTTGTCTGGCGGAGGGTCGTGAGTCTGCGTCGTAGGTGAGGCACCGCTTCAGCGTATCCAGGAGAGCTGGCGGGAGGTGCTTAGCGGGCGGGTAATTGTGATGGCCCGAGCGGTGGCTTTAATGGTAGGTGCTTGAGGATACGTCGAATTGAGACAACACTTTGAGACTACGAACTTTACTTAATTGAACTTAACGAAGACAACATTAACTTACGGTGGCTGAATAGGAACAAAATTAAATATGTCATAAGACTGTTGCATAATCAATGGAGTCTTAATTACAAATACAATTTTCTCGTTCATGCTGTATGAAACAATGTTAACTAAAGATAGCAGTTCCGATACGTTATCTACATTTAATTCTAAAGGATATTGCGTATGAGTTGGAATGTGTGACGCAGTTTTCTTTAATTCATTAATATATTGTTCCGGAGTAATGATGATAGGATGAAGATTATTATTTTTAGCAAAGAGTATAGCATCAATTATCATAGACATTTCGTTATTTACTTCAGTCGTTACTAAAGTTAGAAAAGATAAATGTTCAATTAAATTTTGTTTCATTTCGAGAGTAAATATTACATTATTTGTGTAATTTACTAAAGTTTCTTAAGATCCGTTATTGTATTATTAAAGTTACGGATAGTTGTCTTAATAACTCGAGATTGAGATTTTAGTAATTTAATCAGTTCATGTTCATTCTTATCTACGTTGTTAATAGCGTCATCATAAAGTTTTGCATCTTCCACGTCTAATGTTCCAAATAGTATTTTGAATAAGCTTCCTACACCATCAATTACAGAAAGTTTAGAACGGAGATTTATTGGAGAATATCCGATTATTTCTTTAAGTACCGTTTCTTGGTTCCTTAAGTGAGAATACAATTGTTCTAAAACTAACATAGATGTTTGACATAAAGAAAGTTTATTAAATGTGTCATGGTTACAAAGATCTCTACTTTCGATAAGGGTATTTTCAATAAGATCTAATTTCTTGTTCCGAAGCGGCATGAAATGCGTGTACAGCTACAGCGGTAGCTTCTTTGTATGGGATTGCGTAAGCTTGAACATATCGAGTTAATTCATCCTGTAAGGTTAGAACGTGTATAGATTATTATTGTTGCTTACCTCTGAATACGGAACTAGGTCTATCAAAACTCGCTCGAATGGTTCGTAGCTTGAATAGTAATTACCATTGGTGCTTGAAAGGGTTTTCTCTGGATCATCGTGAAAAGCTTTTAGAATGTCAGCGATTTGTTCGGGGGTTGGAATTTATCTTTATTTTCGCAAATAGTTAATTCACAATTGTAAGAGTCAGCCAAGTGGGCGGCGATGTGCAGTTGTTCATTGCCTTGAAGTTTGCATGTAGGGTCGTTTCTTCAATCAGGGACGTGTGTCAGTGTTTTGAACTCATGATGTTGTAAGCAGCTTAAAAGGGTTTTGATATAACTTCCGGAATTCCAAAGGTCGAAATGTTTTGGTCTCGTACATCCAAATAACATATTTTGTTTGCTATCGGAAAGCAGTAAATTAACTTCGCAGAGTGACTTGTTTAATTATTCACTAATACTTAACATAGTTACGACATGGTACACGAACGCAGTCAGAAATGTAACTGTCATAGTTTGAGAGAGTTCCCATTCCTTTAGTAGTTTAGATATAGGAATTATTATAGGTGAAGATATTATTGTGTAACATCCACTTCTTTTCCTGTTTTGAGGAAACATTTAACGACCTTCGATCAACTTAGACAGCACGGACTGAAAGCGTTATGGCCCGAACGGTGGCGTAAATGATGGGTGCTTAGGGATACTTGAATAAGACAACACTTGGAGACTACGAACTCTACTTATTTGAACTCCATGAAGACTAAAACAGTAACTCGCGGTAACGAATGGGAATTGATTGTATCATGGGTAGAGGGGATTATATATTAGTATTAATTTTATTAGTGAATGCTCCTCACAACCCCTTGACAGTGTGGATAATATTTTCTATTATTAAATGACTTATTCATTACTTAGAAAGTATAACAATACGTTTATAAGTAAGCATAATACAACTCTTTTGAATCGTCCATATTTTTTCCCTACCACGAATCAAGTATTTTTGTTAGTTCTCGAGAAAAGTGGCGAAAAAGACTTCCCTATTGTCATATTGAAAGTTAACGTTCGTAAGACTAATGATGTATTTAATTAGGATGTATACTCCTTAATGTTATCTATTATTGCAATGAAAGTTATGAGGAAGCATTTCTGCAGACCGGCAAGGTGAGGATGGTTGATCTGGCATTTTATAACTGCTGTACCAACTATCTTCGCGTTTGGACTTTATCATTCAGTCATTTGCCTACCTGACTATAAAAAAAAGTAAACATTCATAAGACTGGTAAACAATTAATTAGAACATAGTAATGACAAACAAAGAGATCATAATAAAGTTGAATGATCAAATATTAATTATTAAACCGAAGGTCCATAGGTCCATTGCAAAAAGACAACCTGATTGCGAGTTCCTTAGAAAAGAAGTAGCTTACTTAGGCTATATTGTATCGGAGAGAGATTATTATGCAAGACCATGGGAAATGGCATTGTCTACTTTTTGTTGCTAAAATATAATTAGAATGGAGGGAAATAAGAAATAAAAGTTTTTATTGTAAATCTTAATTCTTTGACGTTGATTGAGTGGTGGCCAAGCACAATATTTTTTTGTAAATCAAAACTGATAGAAATTAGTTAATTTCGTTAACATTATAATGACCAAACAAAAAGTGTGTCAGTTTTACGTAGATTGAGTGGCGGCTAAGTATAATATTTATTTGTAAACAGAAAGTAATAAAAAATATTTTTTGTGTAATTAATTTGGTGAATATCGTAATGACCAAATTTTGATATATTCTTTTGTAACAAAAGTGAGTCAATGTATGTATATCATAAGATAATGTTAAGTTTATTGTGATATGAAGATACCTCATTGTATAAATGTATGTGTAATTATTAAGATACTGTGATAATATGATTTATTAGTAAATTAATTTTACGAACAAATAGTTTCTAATAGCACTAAAAGATTTTTCTCGTGGAGTCATAATACCACACTACTAAGACAGGTACATAAATATTAATTCCATATTTTTATTATATTAATACGTGTGGTAAACATTTTGTACTCCTTCGATTTTTGAGAACGGGGAATGAGATTTTTGTATACTGAAAAAATGGTGAAGGAGTGCAGAAAGTTATGTTTGAGTTATAAGTACAATGGCCAAAATGTAAAAAAGCTAAATACTACCAATTTCCTGGAAAAAATTCCACGCAGTTCGGTAGCTGACGGGACTTAACTAGCACCCTCTGCGATCCGAGTGGATATGCACTGACGAATTATGCTCCCGCGACCTTGGCCGTGTCGAATTTCTTCTAGTATTTCTTAGGCTGCAAAGCAGCGCCATCTCTTCGCATTGTAGGTAACTACTTACTTAATTACTTTGTGGCCAATGTGTGATAATATCTTATTTTTAAAGTTCATAGTGGAATGAAGGCACGGCAGTATATGATAAAAAAATGTATGTAATTGTTTAAGTATTAAGACAATATTGTATTGTAATCGATCGGTTTATAAATAAATTATTTGTAACAGCATCAGCAGTTGTTTTTTTTTTTGTTAACACACCTTGACGTCGCTACAATAATATTTTGGGGGAGTACTTTATAACATCAAAAACTGCAATGGCAGTGGCTTAAACTTAGAACAAGAATTAAAGCATAGAAAAACATATTTGTTTCCTAGGTTTTCACGCACATCACTCATTAATTAATTGAAAAGGCTGCGAGACGTCAATATATAAATAAATAAAATCAGTGCATCTAACCCGTTGAAACTAGTTTTATTTAGCATAGAAAAAGTTAAAATTCAAATCATCCACTCAACTCATATAGATTTCTTATTTTTACAATATAGACCAGAAAACAGACAAATATATTTTGCTATAAACAGAGTGCGTTTAAATTTTGACATAAAATTTATGAAACTAATGTCAAATTTAACATTTGTTGCACCTGGAGCGTAGGTTTGGAACCCAGCCCGAAACTATCGCAATTCGTCGGGTTTCCTTGTAACTTTGACAGCTGCCTCGATTTGTTGTTATGGAACATTCGAAACCTGCGCCTCAGGTGGGCCTGATTTAACTCAATATTTCATAAAATATACAATCCAACTATCGATACGTAATATAGACTTGATTTTTCTTAAAGAAAACGGACTACCCACATTTTACAGATGTTTGCGTAACAAATATTTATATGCATTGTTTGAACTAAGTCATCAATTTGAAAATTATTAACAGATTTAGTAAAAAAAAAATTTTGTGATGTAAGTGTGTGTATGTCCAACTAAATTGTTTGTTTATTTCGTACGTCTCGTATAACACACGTACTGGATTATTCTCTTGTTTTCTCATATAAGTGAATTTTGTGTTTTGTTTTTAGAAATAAATGTCTTAAACCATATAACTATATATACTCTTTCTGCGTAATCTCCCCACGGGGTATGACATTGGGCCAGGGTAGGCAACGGTGCGAGTGAGATTATTGGTATCGCAAGTGTCTATAGGCTATGGTGGCTGCTTACCATCCATATGCTTGTTTGCCTTGCCACCCTTTCAAATAAAAAAAAATATAATAATAAGACACCATTTATTTTCTCCTCACAAAAGGTATAATAGAAATAACTACAATGATTTTTTTACTTACAGTGGCGTCTTGCAACTCTACCATCTGTTTTTGTAGTACATTTATTCTTTCCGTTAGTTCTTTATTCAGCTGGTTTAACTCCTGTAATATAAACAATGTTTCGATAATTTCCCGTAATAAGTAAGCAACAACCGATAAAAGTTCAAGGTAAAGACTAAAGACCATAAGGTAGTTGTATGAACACAATACTGTAGTGGCCTGCCACATAAATTCAGATTAATTTATTCGCAATAAAATAGGTAAAAGATATGTTTTTATTTTTTAAGCATTTAACTGCTAGATGATTAAAAATAAAGATAAGTTTACTAGAAAAAAAGCTACGCGGACCAGGCCAGATCCCGTCTGCTACCTGGTCTACCTGATGGAAGATTTTCTACTAAACTTTTTTTTAAAGATATAAAAGAATTTGAATTTTTTGTTCAGACTCCCACTATTCAGCAAGAACAGGCATTCACAATTTAAAATAATTAATCAATTAAAAGTGCCTATCTTTATGACATCTAAAAAGAAAAGACATACATTACTGTCGACTTTTACATAAATCATAAACGTCCTCAATAGAATAAAAATAGTTCCCAATCAAAAAACAAGGTACATGGTAGCAATCCCGTTAATAATTATTAAGTTTACGAATAGTCAAAGTAAGCAATATGTCAATATGTAAGTACCTCGTGTTTGCTTCGCCGTTGGGAGTTGTTGGCGTCTGTAAAGCCGGAATCGTCGGAAACCTTCTGCTCACTTTTGTCCATAGACTCATCTTGGGCGCGACACCTCGATGGTACTTCCAGCTATAATAACTTTTATTGTAAGTATTACTCATAGACAAAGAAAATTCACTAAGCGACACTCGCTTGAACCTAGGAATTAAGAACTTGAAAGTCAACAAAGAAGAGGCTTTGATATTCCAGAGCTTACTTTCAGCTCATACCTACAAAAAATATTTTCAAGTTAAAAAAGTATAAAAATTAACTATGTGACAAGTTTTTGAAAATATGTTATATGTTATATATAAGTGTATAGTGACTTCATAAAAAGTGGATATTTATAATTATATCGCGTATATCAGTAAAAAATAACTCCTCCTTGGTTTGAGTGGTATGTTACGCCCGGTTTTAAGTAGAGATGCAACGATACCGATACGACAATCGTATATTAGCGAATATAGTAAGTTTTAACGATTATCCGTTATCGTAAACATTACAATACGATTCATTATTTTCCAATATTTTTACATCTTTACAGTTTTGAGTGAAGCGAAACGCATAACGTTTCAATGAACTGAATACACCCACCCTTGACATTGACAGCTTTTAAAAGCAGAAAATTGATTGAGATTGATGAAATAATCAAAAAGGATAACTTAATTATAAAAGTAAAGAAATTAAAAGGTAAAATTTGATATTCGTTTTACTATGTCTTAAAATTGGTATAATAACAGACAAAGTGATACAAATAAAGCTTCAAATAAATTCAATAAAATGCTATAAAACAAAAATCGTAATGAATTCGTATCGTAATTCGTTATCGTATTGGACCATTACGAAGTATTCGTCACTTGTATTGGTATCGGATGCATCCCTAATTTCAAGGTGTCACCTGCTCGTGAAAAGGTTCGAATCCCGATAGGGGCAAATGTTAGTATGATGAATACGAGCATTTGTATCTTAGTCATGGATGTTTACATATATTTCCATATAAATATTCTAATATATGTATCAAATATATGTAAAGGGAACGTGCACAACGAAGGTGCTGCAGACTGACGTCGCCAATCCGAATCTTGTATTATATATATCTATTAATTATGATTTCAAAAATGCCGCCTAACGGGCAGAAATATGTCGTCTTACAGGCAGAGCACCTGGCTTTCATCACTTTGACAGCATATTTACAAGCATTTTAGTCTCCATCAATGAAGGTAGTTTTCAGTCACGTGAAAGATCAAAAAATATTTTTCTATTACATGATTTTACTAATAATACAAACTACTTTTTTTATCAGATTAGTAAAATCGCTAAACCGTCAACCCAATATTTATGATCAGACACATACCAAAATTGGTACTTTATTTTTACACTGTTCGGAGACCAAAATGCATGTCTTTACATACTAAATATTCAACGAAGCGTAAACTTTTCATATTTCTTAAAAATGGAAAAAACATAAGGCTCGTTTCGGAAACTACCTAATATAAAAATCTAATCGTCTACGCTAGGTTCACGGAAATCTGAATTCCTGCTCAGGAACCCGTACATATGCGCAAAGCCTTAAGGTTAGGTTAGGTTACCAATTGTATGTTATAATGATTATTGATTAATTTTCTCACCCGAGAAGGCGAACTTTCAAATCTCGGAGTGAAATAAGGCGAGCTGACCGCTTCCAACTTGGTATTTGCCTCGTCATTCTTGATGAGCTTTAAACAAAAAGATATTTAAGACAAAACGACCCGGTGTACTTCGTATCACCTATCCTAACGACATTCAAACTCTCCCTTTGCGAAAGAAAATAAGTAAAATAAGTGGAACAGTTTACATGGCAATATGAAATTGTTGTTCAGTCTTCTTCGCGATTTTTTGAATATTTTCTCACCGTTTGAACCTTCCCTGGACTACGAAAAACATTTCAAAACCAAAATCAGCTCAATCGGCCCAGCCATTCTGGACTTTAAGTGTGACAAACGAACTACAATAGATTTAAAATATAGGTATAGATTAAAAGCCTGCTTCACAATCGATAAGTAATGGTACTGAATGGTATGTAAGCTACTTGGAACATAAAGGTGCCTTCTGATTAGAGCTATACTATATAGAATTATCTTAGAACTCATAGCACAATATCGCGCACCACATATTTCCATATTTTATTGTTTTGCTATACGCACTATATACTTTATAGTGCAGTACTACTCTGTAAGGCGTAGCCGGAACGCAATTTTATGTTCAAAGTAGAATAGTAGAACTTTAAATATCGATTATGAAAACAGGCCCTAAAACTGCTAGTATATATAAAAAATACTAGAAACACTTAAACTCTGCCATCATCATCAGCCTATTGATGTCCCTACTGTTGAGGCACAGGCCTTCCTTATGGACGGGATAAGGAGATAGGGCTATGATCCACCACGCGTGCCCAGTGCTGAATGGTGGGTGCTAAAGACTGCAGATGCAGCCGGACCTTACGAATTTACGTGCTCTCCCAAGGACGGAGGACGACGAAATATACTAAAAACTTTAACAATTACTCATACCTTTTTTACTTACCTTATATGTCTTGTATATATACATAAGGTAAGTAAGAAAGATATGAGAAATGGTTAAAGGTTTTTTCGTATATTTATATAATAGTACTAGCTGTCCCAGTGAACTGCCATAAAAAATAGGGGTTGGTGGTAGAAGGGTAGAAATTTAGGGTTGTATGTATTTTTGTATGATGTATCATAAAAAAATAAAACAAAAAATTATGTCCAAACAAAATTTAAGGGTACCATTCTTGACATTAAGGGGGATGAAAAATAGATTTTGTCCGATTCTCAGGCCTACTGAATATGCATATAAAATTTCACGAAAATCGGTCAAGCCGTTCCGGAGTAGTTCAATTACGCACACCGTGACATGAGAATTTTATATATTAGATATATGTATAATACAACATTGTCAACTCACATTGGCTGTGCTGCTGCCGTGTCTCTCTATAGTGGCGGCGACAAGTCGTGACATGTCGTTAGCGCGCGCAGTCGCCTCTAGTTCTGATACCTTCTGCTTTTCTATAGTTAACTGGGTTTCCAGCTCGCCTGGAAGGTAAACGCCGTTATATGTTAAAATCTAAAGAAAATTTCTCTACAAATAATTCGCGCGGTACAGACGGCAGACGGAACTCGAACATCCATGTTGGATATCCATAGTAGCTAAAAATGGTAAAACCTCGCAATTTTTTCGTCCAGCACCGATTTCTACAAAAATTTGGGATTAGACTTATTTCACCCTCTAGTTAATTTTCTACATTGTGCCGTTGTACGCTTTTTGTTTTTTTGGGGCGAAAACTACCCCTTATTGTCAAAAAATATAAAATAACATTAAAAACCTAAATATGGGTAAAGAATAGTTGAATAATGTTGTTTCATGCTTTAGGATACAATTTCGTAATCTTTCAACCTACTCTTGTTGAAAACTAGCTCCGAAGCAGGTAATTCGAATTTTTCGAAAAATTAATTAACCGGTTTTTTTAAAGCATATCTCCTTCAGTTTAGATGATAGATTTTTTTTTTCAGAAACGCTTTTGTAGGGCTTTTCAGGAGCTATAAGACTATGTGAATTAAATTACTTAAGATCTCTTAATTTTTAAATGGGGAGAGTTTAAAGCGCTTCAATAAGGTGATGTTCGATCGTAAATGTAGGTGTTAAACGGCTATATCTCGCCGAATATTCACTGTACAAAATATCTAGGGAAATTTTTATCAAAAAAAAAGCTACAATTTAGTACTGTATCGTTTTTTTCGTATCTTTAGTATTTTGGAGGATAATTTTAAGAAAAGGTGAAATACACGAAATTGAAAAAAAAAACGTTTTCTCTTTAAACTCCAATTTTTCTAAAATTAGGCATTTTAAATTGGTCAAGCTTCGTGGGTGTATTAAGAGTACATTTAAAGAGAATCACAGAAGGTAGCGATCAAGTTCAATTAGGGGGTACTTTGCGGGCAAGGGCGGATCCAGGGGGGGAGTTCATGGGGGTCATGACCCCCCCCTGGGCTGGGCACAGATGGACCAAACCCAGGGGGATTTTATTTAAGTACTTATAATATTTAGTATACCACGACTATATGACCCCCCCTGGCGCCAAAGCTGGCTATATGACACCCTACCTACCCTACTACTCTACCTTCTGTGAAAATTTCAAGTAAATCCATGGTGGACGAAAAAATTGCGAGCCAAAATGCTTAAATGACATAACCTTTAATAATGCACGCTGGGCTCTTTCAACATGGATAATATGTGTTTTTCTAGCACTGCCCCATGTTATAATATAGTAGCATATAGATTGCGCTAAATTATAGTATATATAATGTTTTCATTAATTTTGTGTCAGCAAAATGACGCAGATTTCTGCAAACATAAATTAGTTCACGACATCTTTTACGTATGGTTTAGGATAACACCAAGATACTTAAAATTACTTTTATATTTATTTTTCTTTTTTTTAAGCATGTAACTCTCGATGTTTTAAGAAAATTTAACTAGAAAAAAACTACGCGGACCAGGCAGCCGACGGGACTCGAACCCGCACCCTTCGCTCTCCGGGCGAATGCACTGACCATTATGCTACCTCGGCCGTGATGGCCGTGTCGAATTCTATCTATCCTTTCTTAAGCTGCAAGGCAGAGCCATTTCCTCGCATTGTAGGCAACTTCTCGTTCCAGAAGAACACAGCCACAAGGTGAGTTATTTGATAATGGTCTATTACAGATTTGCGCCAATATTTGGAATTTGTTATCTGGAATGTTTCTATTTGTTATCCCAAAAGTAATGTACTTGGTTTTAAAGATATTGAGTATTAGTTTGTTTATCTGTAGCCATTGCAAAACCATTTGGAGCCCACTCTTAGCATTGGTCCTAGTTTTGCCCCAATCCTTACCATGGAATACTAAAGCGTGTAATCAGCAAAAGTGAAAATTTTACAATTTTTTAGTACTAAATTGCACAAGTCATTATTATAAATGAGGAAAAGGCTAGGGCCGAGCACACTTCCCTGTGGCACGCCAAATGTTACCAGACAATCTGAACTAGTTTGTTCACCAATTTTTAACCTCTGGATTCTACCAGAAATGTAACTTTCAAACAAACGCAGCGTTATTAGCTTCGCTTTCACCAAGAGTATGTGCGAAGAGACAGTGTCGAACGCCTTTACGAGGTCTAAAAATATGCTTAAACATTTGTTTATATTATCAAGATGTTGGGAAATGTAATCGAAGATTGCAGAAGTAGCATCGGAATTAGACATCCCAACCCTAAACCCAAATTGTTTTTTTTAATTTGGTTTTCTTTATCTAAAAATAATATTAGACGTTTGTTAATTACTTTTGATAACAATCTTTGAAATACTGCTAACCTTGTTTCGCCTTTGCATTATTCAGCTGCTGGGTCTGAGTCGTTTTATGCTTACTGGAAGTCACTCAGCTACTATAAAAATATTTTTCAAAATATTACTGACCATGAGCCCCCTGTACGTCAGTCAGTAGTTGCACCAGCTATATCGCGCGTCGTTGCCTTCAGTGAAAATAATGAACATATTCTATTTAATAACATTATTGACCTTGTACCCCTGTGCGTTAGTCAGCAGTTGCCCCAGTTGTGGCCCGTGTTGTTCCTACAATTACATACAATGTTGTGCCGCGGCGTATTCGCTTCGTACGCATTGGTTGTCTGTCTGTCATATCACTCGACGCTTACTTTAGCCGCTCTATACGGACACTGCACAGGCAGTTTCAAACAAAGTTTGAGTCTTCAATTGGTAATCTAACAGAAGGATCCAGTTTGTTATTACGTTCGGTAGGGTCGCTGCTTAGTTTCCAAAGAAACTTTGACGATAGCGATACAATTACGGATCTATCAAAGTTCGTGCTTGGGGTACAGTTATCCCAATTGCATTGTGCGTTGTTTATGTAGTTGCAGCGAGAATTGTACCAAATCTAAGTCTATAAAAATAATGAAAAATTTCCTAACAAAAATTGCTTTTACAGACCTTGTGCCCCCTGTGCTTCAATCAGCAGTTGCCTCAGTTGTATCGCACGTTGTTCCTCCAGTTGCATGCAATGTTGTGCCGCGGCGTATTCGCTTCGTATGCGATGGTTGTCAGTCTGCATGTCGCACAACTCTTGCTCTAAACGCCCTATACGGGTACTATAGTCTGCGTGAGTTCTAGAAAGTTCCTAACCCAGGAAAATATAAAAAAATATCTTTTTTTAGTATCTCAGTAGTCAGGTAAATAGTTGGGAGTGGACCGTATATCGAAAGTGAAGATTTGAAGTCTGCTTCATAGCGGAAAGTTTTTTTGTTTTAATAAAATTTGTTTTTTTTTTCTTGCATTTCAATGTATAAATATAATACATATCAGTACCTATTTCACTGTCGTACAGCATATTTGATAAGTTCTGATTTCAGTTTATCTCCGATAGTATAATAGTGTATGACAAGGAAGCAACCTTACAAGTCTGCTTGGAAATAAAAATTCTATAATATTCAATAAATCAAATAAATTCAAATGTCTATTTAAGTCACGTGATGTCTTATCTTACTCTATTATAATACAAAAACTTTACTGTACACAACAGAAAAAAAATCATTAAATAGTAATAAATTTAAAAGTAATGTTACAATGTCCTTATCCCTAGATTAATGTCTTCTAGACAACCTTTGGATGGAGAGGATTAGTAGAAAGTAGAAGAGACAGCGATTATTCCTAAAGCAAAGAAAGAGACAGCAATAAATTTAATCATAATTAAAAGTTACTTGGCCTCTCCGAGTACGCCCGTAAATAAGACTTGGAATGGCGGATTACCGCTCTAATCGGAACGCCCGCCTGGGAAGTAACCTTCACCTTATAGGAGACCACGGTTAAATAACACTACCTTTCGGTGGTGGTGGTGGTGAATTTCTGTCAGTAAGGTATCAGGGCTCCAGTGGTAGGTATGGGATTGGGTCATGGTAGGCAACGGAGTGAATTTTTTGTATCGCAAGCGGCAATAGGCAATGGTGGCCGCTTACCATGGGGTGCACCATACGCTCGTTTGCCACCGGCTCTCATTCTCGCCTCGTTTGCCGTTTTTTTAACATAGACAGGCTTCCATATTTCAGAGCCCCCACTCTGAAATATTGAGTCACAGAAGTAAAAGACAGCGAGAATCATACTCTACTATCGCAAGCATTTGCAATCTATGGTGACACCTTAGCATCCGCATTACACCACACAACCCTCTGGCTCATTTTCTTAACCATCTACGAATGAAAAATTTTTATTCACTTTTTCTTAACTAGTTATTAATAATATATTTTAAGCATTTAGCTAGCATTAGCATTTTCATAATTGGTTAAGAAAAAAATAAAAATAACCAGTTATGAAAATGTACAAAGAAAACTTCCGTAGCTTTACGAAAAACGTTTTCAGAACATGGACCAAAGGCACACAACTTACACCGGGTTCAAACGAGGCGATTTTAGTTGATCAACTGCTTAACCGCATGCGATTCGAACCGTCTGAACACTTTTAATCAAATTAAAGCACTCAAATTGAAGAAAAGCAATTAAACAATAAAAGTTGATCAATTTAAATCGCCGTGTGAACCCGGTATTACCTCTTGCAAATCGACGATGTTTTGCTTCAACTCTTCCATAAGAGTTCGGCATTTGTTTTCATCGCATGGTTTCCGAATGTTTTCCCTGAAAAAAGAAAGGTTGGTAAAAAAATCATAGTTTGAGTTGTAATTACTTTTTCAGGATTTGTTATGTTGCGTACCTTTCATTCTCTTCTGTTGCAACTGCAACAGATTTTGCAGACATGTTAAAATCTCTGAAAAACAAATACATAATATTTTAAGACAGAAATTAAAAGAAACAAGCGAAACTAAAATAGGAGTTCGATGACGCAAGTGGTTAGTGTGTTCGGCCTGATATCGTGGAAGTTAAGCAACTTTCGCATTGATCGATCGTTGGATGGGTTGCCAAAACTTATTATCTCGAGGTACCCCATACTTAGGTAGTAGGCACGTTAAGCCGTTGGTCCCTGATGCATCTGCAGTTGTTAGCACCAACCAACCGCACTGGGCCTACATGGTGGATCATGACCCATGACCCAATCTCCCTATTCCATCCATAGGGAAAACCTGTACCCCAGTAGTGGAGACATTAAAAGGCTGTGATGGTACCTGTGTATTGCGCGTAATATAGTATAATAGCGTTTACACCTTTGCGTTTTCCTATTACTGATCTCTATTCTCTATGTAATGTCTGACCTTCAGACATCCTGACTGTCAGACAAATGTTTTTGTTAAAAATAATATTGTGAAAACATTGTTTTACTCCCTTTGATGTAAATATCACGAGGTTACGTACATTTGACAGAGTTTGCAATACGGTGCCCTCTAGGATTGCACTGGCGGCATGACTTTAATATTATTTCATAAATCCTGTGGTGTATAATATTGTGAACAAGCAACTTAATATATATCCCAATATATACCTCTGACCTTAAGAGAGTGCAAAATTAAATTAAGTAAATGGCTTCAAAATTTGATATACAATAAGACTGAGAACGTAATGAAGAACTAAATCATGGACATAATCTTTATAGTTTGATTTAAAAGGAAACCATAGAAAATTTGATAATGTTAAGTTGCAGTATATTTAAAATTATTTTTGTGGTAATCTTTGCTTAACTTTTTTTTCTCTGGAGGTGAGCGTTAGCGGAAGTAAAACAGTTTTATACTTCAGCAGCTTTAAATACACATGTTTTTATGTAATGTCTTTTTTCGTAAATAAAGATTTATTATTATTATTATGTATAAAGAAACATGTGCACGGCAACTTGAAAATTGATTTTTTTAATAAGTCTTCTTTACATAAACATTAGTAAATAATGTGAGATCATTTTCTAAAACTTGTCAAATGCCCTATTGCTTGGCCTGAGGTTTTGCCACAACGCTGATCTTAGCGTTATCGCGATATGGTTCTAGCCACGCGCTACCATGAGTAAGCTTCACGATCATGCATTTACGTTTTTTCCAAATATTGCACTAACTTTTCAAGACATTGACTTGACATTGATGTTCTTAAGTTGACGTCGCTTCTCTTCGAGTTTATCACACTCAAGCATGAGTTTCTGCAACAAAGAATAATATGTTAAGTGGTAAAAACACAAAAGTAAAAAAACGGCCAAGTTCGTGTCATGCCACGTGCAGTGTAGGGTTCCGTAGTTGTCCGTCGTTATAATATCAGGAATCTTTGAACGTTTCTAGTGATCCTATATTCTTTGTAAAAACATAACGATAGCGCGATCCAAAACCGCCACCTAGCGGCAGCTAAGGTAAATAATATGTTATTTTGGTTCTTTTAAATAGTTTTTTATTAAGATTTTGTTCTTCAATGCAAGGTTTTACGCGTTATAAACAAGCACCATCTTAGTCACCTTCAAATTTTTTCTTTGAGTAATTTTTATTAAGTAAGAAATTTTCTATTCAAAGTTGAACGACAATTACTCTTAACTAATTGATCTATCTTAACCTTAATAACTTTCCTTAAAAGTTCATGAAAAGCACTATCATGAACTTTTCAAGTTAATAGTTTAACTTTTAGAGAGGGGGGCGGGGGGGCTATTGAAAAAAAATTAGAACTTTTATTTTAATAATTCGCAAACGGAGCCCTAAATTTTGATATTAAAGAGTCTTAGCAACCCCAAATCATATTAAAGGACTTATTCAACGATACCCCACATGATGGGGTAGACGATGGGGGACTTACTGTTGTAAAAAAAAAATATTTAAAAGAAAAATTCCATTACTTTGTGGGGGTGTTTGAAATACATACCTCCACAAAATTACAGCTCTGTAGTGCTAACAATCTCAATGCAAATCCTCGGGCAGACAGAAAAACAGACGGACATGACGAAACTATAAGGTTGGTACCCTTAAAGTTTCGTCACGTCCGCCTGTTTGTCAGGTCTATGGAACCCTAAAAAGAGTTCTGTTCTTACCATCGTATATACTAGCTTATACTTGCAGTATCTATTAAAAAATACTCGCTTTGCTACTGAACATTACTGATATAGAAAGGTGCTGTCCCACGATCTGTGTTGTCGCGGGCGAGGCCGTGCCACGCAGGGTTGCCAAATGTATGAGAACTCTTACGTTCGAGATTTTGCAGTATCTGTACATGATACTTCTATTTTCTAGTAGTGCTATTTTCAATTATCGTCTTTTTACGGTTCATGATATGCCCTCCACTGGCCGCAGTTTGGATACAAACCATGCGATTTTTTCCTGTACCTACATTATGTTTTTTAATTTTACTCACTTTACATTTGGGGCAGAGCATTTGGTGCATCGTGAAGTAGATGCTGCGGGGCTACGTCGCAGAAACTGCTTCGCTGAGCACAGACGCATATTGAGCACACGAATCCGTTCAGACATACGATCATTAGCTCTCTTCAATTCCGCTATGCTGAAACATCATCAATAGTGGAAGTTACAAAGAGTAAAATACTAAGCACCACTTCAACGCTAAACTGTCAAAATTTTTGGAAACAATAAAAATACAGATTACACAATCTATACTTGTATTTAAAAAGGGGAAAGATTTGTTTCTTTCTTTGTATTGAATAGGCTCCGAAACTACTGGACCGATTCGAAAATTTATTTCACATTTAGAATCCTACTATCTACTTTATCCGTGATAAACAGAGGCTATAGAGTATTTAAAAAAAATATGGATCAACTTTAACCGTTAACGCAACACACGCAACGGAAGCTCATAAATGGTACATTTTCACCCATTTTGGCAACATTTTTCATCGATGCTCCACTGCTACTGGTCATAGCGTTATATTATATAGCCTATAGCTTTCCTCAATAAATATACAAGCCTGAGAACAATAACTATAGTCTACACAGCAGAGAAGCGCGGTCCGGCCTAGGGCATCACAACCTGGTTAAATTTTGAAAACCCGGGTTTTCAGGTTTAAGAGTAATCAAAACCCGGGTAAAACTTTTTTCAAGTTTTTCGATCTTTTTGTTATAATTTTTAAAAATACAAGAAAATTAATTCTTATATCAATTTTCTAGCTCGATGCCCTAGTCAGGCCACTAGACAAGAAAAAGTATAAATTTTTGTAATGGGTTATTGACTTACGATCCCTTTTGCTCATTCACCATAGCTTTGGTATGAGCACAGCAATCCTTAGGCTCTTTGCCAACTGTATTTTTCTGTGTCGCTGTCATTCTTTGCATTTTAGTCGATAAAATTCTTATCTTATCCTGTTGGCTATTGTTGGTCTTCTTTAATTCTAAATTGTTTTCAAGAAGAGTGAAATACAGATCTTCCAGTTCCTTCTTGCTTAATTTGGAAGGGCAAACGCGATACACCTCTATAAAGTAGAAAAGTTTGAAAGATAGTAGTTAGCTCTCCATAGTGGAGTACACGAACTTTTCAACATGTTGCCAACTCACTGGCCCTGGGTTTAAATCCCAGTGAGGCATATATTTGTGTATGATGAATATGAACATTTGTTCTAGGATATGGCTGCTTTATATTAATATTTCTATAATATTTCTGCAAAAATATGCTTAACTATGTATCAATACTATGTATTTCTATCTGTTACCTAGTGTCACACTCAAGCCTTACAGTGTGTATATGAATAAATAAACAACATATGTGCTTAATAGGCATAGCATCAGAGATAGAGAAATATTTGTATATACGAAGAAATATCTGGATTCAGTAAAGAAGAGATTTATTTGGTGATTTTTTATATAAATATCACTTCCACAGTCACACCTCAACAACTGTACATTTGTATAGCCAACAATGTTTTCCAGGGTCTTCAGTTGTTTTGCCCTACAAGCAGCTTACTTCGCAGGGTCGCAAAAGTATTCTTTTTGAATTGGTCGTTCCGCCCTGCATCTAAGGCATGGGGTTGAACACCCATGCATCATTCCTGGGTAAACTGCTCTTGGGCGAAACTACTGAAGACCCGTTTTCCACTGTAAGTGTAAGTCACTCATTCTATTGATAATTTTACTGTTTTACCTTAAGAAAATTAACAACTCCTTTAGAGACTTAGTATCAACATATTTTATTGTCAAGGTATAATTAAATTAACCAATATCTAATTTTAGATATAAGTTAACATAACTCTTATTGGGCTTACAACTGTAAGCGGCTGACTGTATGCCTCTAATTCGCCTTCTTATACATTTTAAGGGTGTTTCTTTGAAAAGCCATTTTGACATGTTTTTCGCTGAAGAACATACCAAAATGACTTTCATTTGTAACGTAAATTTTAGGTGTTATTTAAAAGGGCCATGTCCATTGAGGCTTTATAATAAAACAAAAAAATATTAATACAAGTATGAATAAAGTTTGCAGAAAACAGTAAAATCTAATTAGGGTGGCGCGTCCAAATGCCGAGTTTTACCGAATCAAAGCTATTTTATATTATTAAGAACAGTCAGATTATGATTTTTATATATTCTTTTGGTCTTTGATTAAATTGTCTTTAATATTTTATAGACGTAGTAAAAAATTAAGTCTTAATCTTAAAATTACAAACCGTTAAAAATTGTCCACTACTAAATTCATAATTGGTCTGGCGCAATACGTTCATTGTGTATATGCATTGATTTTTCAAATATTCCGAATTTTAAAAGCAAGACGTGATTTCTCGTGCCGGTCGGCTTCGTACCACCGCAGGTGGTGAACGTGTCCACGCACATTTTTGTCACAAACTTCGATAAAACCGACTCTGCTGGCAATTGTAAGGTAAGCAGCATAATTAATCTGCCATGATTGGTGAGCATTGTATTTTTAATTAGAGTTTATGACTAAGCAATAATCTTTTATATGAATGTTTTATAGCAATTATTTTATTTTCTGAATTATTATATTTAATAATTAGAGTACAGTAATAAATTAAACACAAATTCCTCATTTGTCTGGTCCTCATTCATCTGGATTCATCTGGCCTAAGAAAGCCAGATGAATTTCTAACAGACCAGTTAAATTAGGAATTGACCTAAAAGTATTAATAATTAGACCAGATGTGTATTCACTAGTCACAATAATGGTATTAAAATGTGCGATTATTAAATTAAGATTATGTATATCAGAATTAATAATAATATATAACTTGGCAGTCAAGAATGCTTGTAACAGCCTAAACTAAATAAGTGATTTTGATTGATCGATTGACTTGTTTATGATAAATAAATGATCATAATCATAATCAAAATCATTTATTCAGTTTAGACTGTTACAATCACTCATGACTGTCTAGAAGCTAACCATAATATTTTTAATAGCTGCTTTAATACTATTTCAAACTTTTGCAGACGTGATTTTTAGGTAGGTGTGTGGCAGCCCAGCCAGGTATGTTTTAAAAATAAATAATAATTTTTATCTTTTAGATCCGTGAAATGACGAACCCGAAGAAACAAACGAGAGAGGAAAGACTTAGAAAGAGGTTTGCAGAAAAAAGAAGATACGAAAAAATCATAAATAACGAAGAATTGTGGAAAATTAAAGCAAGAAAATAATAAACTTAGCTACATACGTAGAAAACAAGAAAATAAATAGCAACTTTATAAGTGAAAGGAATCCCAGATAACAGAAATAACAACGAAAAAGATGGAGAAAAAATTTCAAGTCATGTTACAAACTAAAAGAGCAGAAAAGAGAACTGCTGGTTTGCTTGCAGAGAATATCCCTCCATTAAGTCCCAGTATTTTATCGAATAATGAACTGATAGCTCAAGAAGATAGCATACGTGAGTCGCCATTACTAGAAATGCCGTCATAAATAGATACACGATATCACCTATACCAGTACCGTCTAGGGTTTTACGCAATATGTCCCACAAAAGGAATGATCTATCTGAACCAGACATAAGTACACCGACCACGAGTTCTTCTTCTCGTCACCATCTAGTATCATGTCCCATTAGGCTTTTACGCTACAAAAAAGATACAGAGATATCCAATCTTGAATAAATTATAATTAATATGAAGAGACAGAATGGACGTTATCGTAAACAATAGCAAAGATTAAAAACGACTAAAAAGGAAAATTCTACGCTTTCATCCTTAACACTGACTAAACCAAACAAGAATATTATTACTACCAAAACCATTCCTATACTTAATTCAAAAAATTTGCCACTTGCACTGAAAATTGAAATAGAATTATTGTTTGAGGACGATGAAAATAGTCGTCTTTGCTCTGGCAGAAAAGAATTTATAGTGAGAATGAGATCCGTAAACAGAAAAGATATTTCAATGATAGTCTACTTAATCTGCATAAAAAGATTCATAAGATTTCACTAGACAGTAATGGCGATGTAGATTTTAATATATTTTAGTACAAAATTCGACTTACTCTTATCAAGAGATCTCATGATCAAAATTCCTGACTTTTTGTATTCAATTAAATATTGAGAAATTATGTTATGTTAGACTGATTATAATGATAATTTAACTAGAAGTATGATGATGTATTAATTTAACTTTTTTTGTTTTAACTGATTTTAAAGAATGTATCAGAACCCTCAGTGAAATCGCTTTTTCCTGTATTATAATCTAAAGCTCTAGAGAGATTTTGATAATGAATGGTAAACAGTTAATTATTATTTTAATTAAATATTTATTTTTTGGTTCTTAAGATTTTAAGACTCTTACTAACTGTTTTATATATTTTATTTCAAGTATATACTGGCAAACTATATAATATAATTATAAAGGAAGATGTTGAGTTATTCATTATAATAATAACGCTCAAAAGACTAGAAATAGTAAAGACTTATAATATGTTGTTCCTTTACATTTTTTTTATCATTCATAATGCAACTTATTACCCAAAACCAAACAAAATAAATGATTATTTTTAGAAATACTGTTTAATTCTATAGTAAATTTATTGAAAATTGAAGAATGCCTCATTTAACTGCAAGATTGCAATTAATATGTTCACGTTATCTCATTATTCTGGCATAATCATAATTCATCTGACCTACCAATTCATCAGCATCTTTTATATCATAAACCTTTGCAAGTAAATTACGGCCTTCGACATATTTTCCTGTTTCGAACAATCAAATACTATTCGAAGTATTATTTTGAATCAAATCCTAAAAAAAAATCGCGCCAGACCGATTAGCCAAAAACACTCTGTATCGGAGAAATACCCTTAAATGTAGTGTTCATAATATAGCACATACTGTAAACTGTGGTGTTTCGCTTGCTCATACACTGAGGGGCTGAGTCACGGCAAACAATGCTTGCGGTTGACAGCTTAGTTAGCAGACAGTTAGCCGCTAACACCTGACGTATTATGAGCTACTAAGTAAGTTGAGTATTATAAGTATCGTATTTGCATAAAAGGAAATTTTCAAACTTCTCACCTCTGTCACACCTTACAGAATGATTTTTGCACACCTCGGGAGTGTCTTCTTCTATGTATTGACCATTCATTTTAAGTTCCTTTACTTCAAAGCATAAATGAAATTTTTAGCACTCGAAATTTTATGAAGTCATTCGGCTCTTCGGTTAATTTTATGATAGCGGAAATTATTTTTCATTCTCATTCTCTTCTGTATTTTTATGATAGCTAATTTTAGATGCATATTTACTATTTAAAAGTTACATTCACATTACGGTGCTTACGTTAATTTTAAAGAATCAACAACAAAATGAAAATACCGCCATAGCAACAGAAGGAAACTTTTGTTTTGACTTTTTAATTTTGGTGTTGCCATTCTGCAACATTCAAATTCTCCAGTTCATTCCACAAAATGAATTGTTGATTTTTAAATAATAATGATTTTTCCTACAATACCTTTGAATCAAATTATTAAAAAAGCTTATATATGTAAGAATCACGACGAAAGAAAGCCGAGGAAAAAAGATATTTTGCTTTAAACATTTATTGATTATGTTATTTTGTCATTTTTATTACGTATCTGTATTACATTTTTTCATTACAGAAATTGTTTTTTTGCACAAAAATCACAACAATTATACCTATATCAAAAAAGTTCAAATTGTAGTAGAAGCCATTTCATATTACTATCAAGCCACCCTACCATTCAGTATGGTCTCTCTACAAAGATCCGGCCATGTGGGTACCTACTACCGCAGTGCGAGAGAGGTGTCTTCCCGTAAAATAGTAATTCTAATGCATTACTGTGTTTCGGAAAGAGGGAACTGTAGCTAATGAAGTTATTGGGTAAGTATTTGAAGACTAACTAACAACTAACGTCTCGGGTGACGTTCGCAAACCATTGCTGGACATTAGTAGGAAAGAGGGGCATCCCAAAATGTTTTAAAAGTAATTTCCCACCCGTGCGAAGCCAGGACAGCCGCTTGTTAATTAAACTTTTAGATAGTCTATCATTGATCAACAAATACAAGTAAATGAATCGGCTGCTTTAAACCAATAAGCGCGGACCTATGATTAGTAATATACAGAATACGTTTGGCGCGTATGCTTTTGGCTAACCAAAAGCATACGCGCCAATCGTATTCTTTTTGTAATCGAGCTTTGATATTTGTATTTAAAACAAGTTCTATAGTGACGTAGCAATCAAACCGATAATCACTTAATTAAAAATGCATGGTATTTGACATTCACACACAAAAATTCCATACATTTTCTGTTTAACGAAAGCGATAGCTTTTGTTCAAAGGTATCTTGTCTAGGGGGTCTGGGTCGTTTGGTGACTAAAAATAAAAACGATTATTTGCATTCAGTTGACGTATACAGGTGGAATAATATACAAAATAAATGGCAATACTAAAGTCTGTTCATTCTAACATGTCCTATTTGGTAAACAATCTTGGCACAACTTTTTAAGAAAATCACCAATTTTAAAATAAAGTAATAACAAAGTCAATAATCTATTACAATAAATCATTATTAAGACTGAAACCTATTGAATACTGTCCTGTTGAATCAACTGATATCTAGGTATCAGTTGCTTTTTAATGCTGTATTTTCAATAAAAAGGAGTGCCAAGATTGTTTACCAAATAGGACAATTTCAGATGAATGTCAATGTTGTTTTTTTTATTTCACTTGGCTTTTATTTTTATCAATTACAACTTGTAAGAACTGTTTATATTTAATTAATAATATAAGTAAAAATGTCCTTTTAAAATAAATAAAAAATGACATTTTTTATTGGAAAGAGTGCACTTCCGAAGTTCCTCCCCATTGGAACCAAGTCAGGATCCAATGGTGGAATCCAAGGAAATCAAGGGAAACATTCAAATTTCAAAGGCACGCTCAATGTTTTTTATGCTTGTTCACCGATTTCTCGGTCAATTGTGTGATTGTTTACTTAACAAAGAATCTCCTCCTTTTTTGCAGACGGTTAAAAAGGTACTCACAAGAACTCTTTTAATTTAAAAAAGTGCAATAGAGCTTAATCTGGTAACACTAATCCTGAACTGTCACCTTAAAGTCAAATCAAGACTTCAAGGAAAAGGATCATTTATTTATTTATTCATACAGCCACTTAATTTTAAATATTTTTCTGAGCTTTCTTTGAGTACTTACTACGACAACATTTTTTAATTCATAACTGGAAATCCCAGGTGTAGATTTTATGCATTGAAATGGCAAAATTTGATCCGACTGTGTTTGTACAATAAAATGAAAAGGTTACTGGGGGCCAATCTTGTCTCGTTGAGAAAGGTTACTATACTGTTAAAGATTTCATAATTATAAGACAACTTGGGCTTATAGTAGAATAAGTCGTTATAATTTGCTAATTTGGTTGAAAATATTATTATTGTTTAATCACCACTTGTAAATTTAAAAATAGTACCTACCTAGCTGTACTTAACTTATTGTAAATTAATAATATTAATGTGATGAAAGTTGACATCAACACATGTTTTCAGTTTGTGATGTCATCTTTGAATTGACGACACTGTATGAAACAAAACAGGGAGAAAAAAATAGTCCTTGCTGAGTTTCATGCCGGTTCTTCTCAGTACAAGGTCTCCCGCAGTAGATTTACGAACCGATGGCGTAGCGTTTGACTTTCACAAGAGTTTGTAACAGCCTAGACTGAATAAATGAGTTTGAGTTTAAATCGCCTAACAGGATTGCTATAGCTATCGCTATCGCTTTAATTTTGCTATTTATCTGATTCATAGAGAAAGTAATCACTACGTCTTTGTCTTGAGCACTATATTATTAGGTGCTCAGCACAGCTAAGAAAAACTGTATGAAACAAAACAGGGAGAAAAAATAGTCCTTGCTGAGTTTCATGCCGGTTCTTCTCAGTACAAGGTCTCCCGCAGTAGATTTACGAACCGATGGCGTAGCGTTTGACTTTCACAAGAGTTTGTAACAGCCTAGACTGAATAAATGAGTTTGAGTTTAAATCGCCTAACAGGATTGCTATAGCTATCGCTATCGCTTTAATTTTGCTATTTATCTGATTCATAGAGAAAGTAATCTTAGTCTTTGTCTTGAGCACTATATTATTAGGTGCTCAGCACAGCTAAGAAAAACTTGAAGTGAAAATATTATTACCAAGCTCTAGATTAGATACCAATAATTACAACTAGGGTTACAATTTTAGGTACCTATGACAAAAAATTGTAAGTATGTAAAAGCGACCGACAGTCAAAGCTAATTACAACTGAGTGCGATTGAAGAAAGTTTGGTCTATAAGACTTGGAGTCTTGATTGCTGTTAAGCATAATAGGCTAGTTGACTAATGTCGAATTGTGTTAAATAAATATTTATTTCTTACAGTATTTGGTCTAAGGAACCTAAATATATCGATTTCACTTCATAAAAGCAGAAGATTGCTGTAGAAATTTAATTTTAAAAAATATGTTTTATTCTATATTTTTTAAACACTAAAAACGCTGTTCGCCACATCCGCCATGATTGTGACGTCTCTTTCAGTAAACAACTAAATGTCATTCGCGTGTTATTGTGGGTGGATTCTTTAGTCTGCATTAATTTATCTTAAAACACTTTTAACTTTAGAAAAGTTCCGTTTACTGTTTTTTTTTTGACAAAACTAATTATGGATGCCGGCTTTGTGAAAGCAGAAAGCACAAATCTGCCAAGAATTGATGGTTGGTGATTTTTTTGCACTAAACCCCGATTTCTGCTCTGTGGAACAGAGAAACGACAAGGCATCTATGTAAGTACAGTGCATTTAGTATTACAATGTAGTAATAAACATAAAACTGATACAACATAATATGTGTAATAAAGTTGCGTAGGTTAATTTCTTTCGGCACTTTAATCCACAACATTCCTGGAGTCTTCAAGGATGTGTTTTTATATTCTCGTGCAATACAACACTGATAATTACTTTATTTTTCGTGGTATTTATTAGAAATCATGTTCTTTTTATTATAAACTCAGATAAGTTATTTTCTACGTGCTTACGAGTTTTTGTTTACTACAGCTGTTGACATCATAGCATAGACAATCTATAGACTAAAATGTCCGACAGCGTTTTTGTATGTCCATGAAAATTCTATTTTAAAATTAAAGATTTGTAGCTTTCTAGGTCTCAAAAAAACACAATACATTTTTTTCGGTCTAATAAAACATTTATTAACCATTTAAAACCTTTTTCCAAAAAGAGTCAACTAGCCTATTATAGTGTAGTCCGGTAGTGAAGAGTATTAATGTGATGAAAGTTGACATCTGTACATGTTTTCAGGTTTTGATGTCATCTTTCATTGACGACACTGTATGAAACAAAACAGGGAGAATAAAATAGCCCCTTGCTGAGCTTCTTGCCGGTTCTTCTCAGCAAGGTCTCCCGCCGTAGATTTCCGAACCGATGGCGTAGCGTTCCTATAGCATAATATGTATATGCTCCCCAAGGTAGCGTTTGACTTTCACAAGAGCTTGTAACATCCTAGACTGAATACTTACCTATATGAATATGAATTTGAAAAAAGATAGCTGCGAAGTTGAACTCCTTTCTGTGGTATTTTTGTATGGTTTAAAAATTAAATGAAACAAAATTTACCATCAACAACTTTTATTGAACATTTAACATGTAGGCAAATTGATTGCTACCCAGCTACGTCAGAGACAGGAATGGTATTAGGTAGTTACATCAAGAACGGGTGGTATTATGATTCGTCTAAACACAATCTAATAACTAGTTAATTATCTACAGAGAAGTTTTATTTAATTTAAATATCGGAACTGTTTAGCAAGTACCTAGTTAATTTCAGTGAAACAAAAATATGTGACGAATAATAATCTACTATTAGGTATTGCCTCATGGCAGTTCGTCAAAGATGTCAGGTTAAGATATCTTTAAGCTGTATATTAAGCTTCTGGGTAATAAGTAATTACAACCAACTTAAGATACACCATGCTAGGCATCTATGATAATATAATATTATATCTGAAAATGGCACAATCTCTCTTTTTCTTCCATATGTAGGTATCGTAGTGGTATTCTTCAAGAACAAACT